TAGTGAATAAGTGAATACTCAGCCTCCTATCTGGAACTACAGCACGTGCTGCGGTTTTAGAGAAAATGAGAAGGATGCAAAAGCAGAAACCCCTGATAAAACCATCCTTAGTATTTTCTCTTGCCATTGCCATGTAAGAAGTGCCTTTGGTCTCCTGCCATGATTCTGAGGCCACCCCAGCGATGTGGAACTGTAAGTCTAATTAAACCTCTTTTTTTTCCCAGTCTCGGGTATGTCTTAATAAGCAGAGTGAAAACGGACTAATACATAGGGTATTGTTGTTGTATAAGGGTGTGGTGTATGTGCATGTGGATGTATTGAGCTGAAAAATAAAATCTATTTCTTACTGTGGGTCATGGTCAAAGAATTAAGAAATACTGATCTAGATGTTTGTTAAAATGCAGATTCCCAGCACACCTGTCTTTCAAGTCACCTGCTTGGCCTTCTTCCAAGTGTACTTCCTTTCCCTCCTGCTCTAAAGCTTTTTAATAAACTTTCACTCCTGCTCTAAAACTTGCCTCAGTCTTTCCTTCGTCTTCTGAGGAGGCAAGAACTGGGACTGCTGCAGACCTGAACAAATAACATACTTTGGTGCCAGGTGACTTGGATAAGTTATTATTTTAAAAATATTTTTTTAAATGCAGATTCCCAGGACCCATACCAGCCCTATCAAATTAGTAGAAGTGTGGCCTGAAATCTACATTTTTAACAAGTACTAAGATATTCCTATGCACATTCAAATTGAGAACCATGGCCGGGCATGGTGGCTCATGTCTGTAATCCCAGCACTCTGGGAGGCTGAGGCGAGCGGATCAGGAGGTCAGGAGATCAAGACTATCCTGGCCAACATGGTGAAACCCCGTTTCTACTAAAAACTACGAAAATTAGCTGGGCATGGCAGTACATGCCCATAGTTCCAGAAACTCAGGAAGCCAAGGAAGAAGAATTGCTTGAACCTGGGAGACGGAGGCTGCAGTGAGCTAAGATCACATCAATGAACTCCAGCCTGGGTGACAGAGCGAGACTCTGTTTCAAAAAAAAAAAAAAAAAAAGAGAGAGAGAGCCACTACCGAAGGGCTCAGGGAAGGAATGAATGTTTAAGTATACAACAATGGAAAACATAAATAGTGGGAAGGATTAACTGGCAGAATTGTTCCTTCCCCAAATCAATATTCATCCAGGCAGCAAGACAGAGTTGTTAAGGCCATGACTTTAGATTTCGGCTACCTGTGTTCAAATCCTAGCTCAATCACTCATCAGCTATATAACCTTGAACAAATTACTTTTCTGTTTTCTTCTTAGAGACAAGGTCTTGTTCTATAGCCCAGGCTGCAGTGCAATGGTGCGAACACCATTCATTGCAGCCTTGGCCTCCTAGGCTGAAGCAATTTTCCTTCCCCGGCCTCCTGAGTAGCTAAGACCACAGTTGTGCACCACTGCACCTGGTCAATCAAAAAAAAAAAAAATTGTAGAGATGGAGTTTCACCATGTTGCCCAGGCTGGTCTCAAACTCCTGGACTCAAGTAATCCTCTCCACCTTGGCCTCCCAAAATGCTGGAATTACAGGCATGAGCCACCGTGCCTGGCCTACTTAACTTTTCTATGCTTACATTTTCTTATTTATAAAATGGAGTTAATAATAGTACCTATCTCATCGGTTGTGATAAGGATTAAACGAAATAAAGTATATAAAGCATTTACTATCTACCAGGAACTATTTTTAGTGTTATTATGAGTATTCACTATTAATATCATGACTGAGTTGGGCCCAGGAGCTCATGCCTATAATCCTAGCACTTTGGGAGGCTGAGGCAGGCGGATCACTAGAGCCCAGGAATTTGAAACTAGCCTGGGGAATATGGCAAAACTTGTCTCCACAAAAATATAAAAACTGTGGCTGGGTTTGGTGGCTAACACCTGTCATCCCAGCACTTCGGGAGGCTGAGGTGCGCAGACCACTTGAGGTCGGGAGTTTGAGGCCAGCCTGGCTAACATGGTGAAACCCTGTGTCTACTAAAAACACAAAAATTAGCTGGGTATAGTGGTACACGTCTGTAATTCCAGCTACTCAAGAGGCCAAGGCATGAAAATCTTTTGAACTCAGGAAGTGGAGGTTGCATGAGAATGGCTTGAACCCAGGAGGTGGAGGTTGCAGCAAGCCGAGATTGCAAGACTGTACTCCAGCCTGGGTGACACAGTGAGACTCTGTCTCGAAAAAAAACAAAAAAAAATTAACTGGGCATGGTGGTGCATACCTGCAGTCCCAGCTACCTGGGACACTGAGGTGGGAGAATTACCTGAACCTGGGAGGTCAAGGCTGCAGTGAGCTGTGATCGTGTCACTGTACTCCAGCCTGGGCATCTCAAAAAACATCATGCCTGATCCTGAACTGCCAAAACTAAGAAAAACATTCCACAGATAGCGTCTTCCTTTTTAATGCCTTTACCACTGGAGTCAGGGAACCTGCATATAAATTCCCGGTCTACCACTTATATTTGCTGCATGACTTGGGACAGTCACATAACAAAAGCCTTGGTATTATCTTCCATTAAGCAGAATTGTTTCCATGATTAAATAAAATAGTGTACATAAAGCACTAACGTTTACTCCCTGACACATGAGAAGTGCTTAATAAATGATAGACATCACTTATAATTTCCTTGTTTTATATTGCATCTAGACTTACATGGCCTCTTTGATTTAAAGGTCTGGCCTATTAATTTGGCAACAAATCACAATTTTAAATGAGCATACTCTTGACCCAGAAATTTGCCGCTTTCAAAAATATATCCTCGGGAAATAATCACAAGAGCTCAAAGCGTATATTCAGTAAAGCTTTAAAAACCAAATGAAAACAACATAAATGTTTTAGAACAATTAATAGAAGACTAAATAAGCTGGGTACAGTGGCTTATGCCTGTAATCCGAGCACTTCAGAAGGCCGAGGCAAGTGGATTACTGAGCTCAGGAGTTTGAGACCAGCCTGGGCAACATGGCAAGACCCTGTTTCTACAAAAAGTACAAAACTAGCTAGGTATGGTGGCGTGCCTGTTGTCCCAGCTGCTAGGGGGGCTGAGGTGGGATGATCACTCTTTAAGCCCAGAATGTCAACGCTGCAGTAAGCTGTGATCACATCACTGCACTCCATCCTGGGCAACAGAGCAAGACTACCTAAAAAAAAACACCCCAGGCACATTGGCTCACGTCTGCAATCCCAGCATTTTGAGAGACTGATGTGGGCAGATCACAAGGTCAGGAGTTCAAGACCAGCCTGACCAACATGGTGAAACCTCATCTCTACTAAATATACAAAAATTAGCCAGGTGTGGTGGCAAGTGCCTATAATCCCAGCTATTCGGGAGGCTGAGGCAGGAGAATTGCTTGAACCCAGGAGGGGGAGGTTACAGTGAGCCGAGATTGTTCCACTGCACTCCAGCCTGAACGACAGAGCCAAACTCCATCTCAAAAAAAAAAAAAAAAAAAAAAAAAAAGACTAAATAAGCAAATTCTTTTCTACCCAAACAATAAAATATTCTGTTAAAAAATAAAAACAGATTTGTAAGTATTGACATGGAAAGTTTAAGGTATATTCCTGAGTGGAAAAAAATAAAGCAGTAGAATAGGATGTATAGCATGATACCTTTTATATAAAATATGTATGTCTACATATAACTACACCTGTATAAAGACAATTCTAGAAAAAATATATATCAAACTTAATAGCAGTCTCCCTGGTAAGACTGGAAGGGAAGGGAAGATGGGGACTTTGGTTTTCAGCTTTACACTAAGTAGTACGAAAATGAAAACCAAGAGAAAAGAGATACAGATCTTATGGTTCATAAAATAGTACTTATCTGTGAATATATTCCTTAAATTATCAACATATCTCTTAAATTATTTTTATATATCCAGGAAAAATGCAAACCAACAGTATAAGAAAGTCTTAAATATGACAAGGAAATTTATTCTTTGAAAATGTTATAGTCATTTAATTCCTGACTTCTGCACATTTAAGTAGCTGCAGAAGACTTTAGAATGGAAGCTACTATAAGTATAGGATGCCACCATCTAGCATGGTAGTACTTATCTATTCAAACAATACAGAGTGCTTGCAAGTAACAGTCAGGTAATATTAAGCATTTATACTTATAACATGAGGCAGATAGTACCATAAATATAAATACTTAATAAATGCTATCCCCAATAAAATCCACTAAGCAGTAGATATCTAGCCATATATATAAATATGCTATGAAAATACTTTGTATGATTTCTATTATTTCTATGCTTCTTCTTCCACATTGGGATTAAGTCTTACTGGTGAATACGCCCTTGAGCTAAATGCACTCCAATAAACACAGTGCCTAGTTAACATTCAAAAGGGGAGTATATATCTGCTGGAAGTGGCATAAGGAAGGCCACATTCAAAAAGAATCAGAACATTTTGAAGTTTTATCATAGAAAACAATGACACTTTCCAACAATACCAGAAATCTCTGTGTGCATAAGATTTTTTTCAACAACTGTGAAAAAGCTATTTTAATAGTATACCTCATTCCTCAGGTAGAGGTATAAGTCAACAAGTAGAAAAGTAAACACAGAACTTAAAACACAGGTTCAAGATATAAATAGCCGAGCATGATGATTCACACCTGTAATCCCACACTTTGGGATGCTGAGATGGGTAGATCACCTGAGGTCAGGAGTTCGAGACCAGCCTGGCTAACGTGGTGAAACCCCGTCTCTACTAAATATACAAAAATTAGCTGGGTATAATGGTGGGTGCCTGTAATACCGGCTACTTGGGAGACTGAGGCAGGAGAATCTCTTGAACCTGGGAGACGGAGGTTGCAGTGAGCCAAGATTGTGCCATTTCACTCCAGCCTGGGCGACAAGAGCAAAACTGCATCTCAAAAACACTACAATCAAAAAACCATATATACAGATAGACAGAAATCAATACCCAAATAAATAGAAATGACTATATCAAACATACTTACCATTGAATGGATTGATTCCTGCCTTTATTCTTGAAATAATAGCTTCTTTTACTTCTTTTTTCTTTACACATCGAATACCCAAATTTTGGAAACTAGCAGGAAAAAAACCAGAATATTCAAAACTGCATTATAAACACATGGAATATTGCAAAAATCAAATGTATAGCAATACTGAAGTTATTATGCTGTCAGCTGAACATACCAAAGCATGAATGTGCTTCAAATTGCTCTGATAAAGATGAGAGGCTAATAAGTGGGGGTATATGGCCGGGCATGGTAATCCCAGCACTTTGGGAGGCCATGACAGGCAGATCACCCGAGGTCAGGAGCTCGAGAACAGCCTGACCAACATGGAGAAATCCCGTCTCTACTGAAAATACAAAATTAGCCGGGCGTGGTGGCGCAAGCCTGTAATCCCAGATACTTAGGAGGATGAGGCAGGAGAATTGAGCTGAGATCATACCATTGTACTCCAGCCTGGACAACAAGAGCAAAACTTCAACTCAAAAAAAAAAAAAAAAAAAAAAAAAAAAGAAGTGGGATTATATTTCTAAGAGAACTGTTAAAAGAAAAATAGTATATATCATTTTTACATACAGTGTTTCACAATTACATCTTATTAATATGCCTATGTCAAACATACCAAAGTGTAGATTAACCATAAAGCAATACCATAATGGTAAAATTTACCTCTCAAATTCAGAATCAAATCAATAAAATCTGTATTTTTTTTTTTTTTTTTTGAGACGGAGTCTCGCTCTTGTTACCCAGGCTGGAGTGCAATGGCGCGATCTCGGCTCACCGCAACCTCCGCCTCCTGGGTTCAGGCAATTCTCCTGCCTCAGCCTCCTGAGTAGCTGGGATTACAGGCACGTGCCACCATGCCCAGCTAATTTTTTGTATTTTGAGTAGAGACGGGGTTTCACCATGTTGACCAGGATGGTCTCAATCTCTTGACCTCGTGATCCACCCGCCTCGGCCTCCCAAAGTGCTGGGATTACAGGCTTGAGCCAAGGCGCCCGGCAAAATCTGTATGTTTGATAATGTAAAACAAAAGCTGTAAAAAGAAGTCCACAGGTTGAAGCCCACAGGTATGTTTCACTAGGCCCACAAGGATGTTGCCTATATTTTTAAAAATCTGCACAGATTATCTACATTTAGAAATCAGATAACTGCACATGAACATCTGGACTTCTGGCTTCTCTCGAACATTTTAAAGGCCTGGAAACACTAGGTTGGCACAGAAAATATAGGCTGAAGACTGAGACCCATTTATGCAGGGCTCTTCAGTTTGCTGCAGTGCCTGTTAGTCCTCCTACACTTGATTCACACCACTCATTTATGCTGCTTGCCTAGTTCTGCAGAAATTTGATTTTTGAGCCCTGAATTCACTGTTAGTAGCAGAATATGTTTTGTGCCATATTATACAAAGTTATCAGAGCCATTTATCATAAAAAATTACTGGTGTGTTTTTTATTAGAAAGTTTAATTCTAACAATAATATTTAACAAGTTTCAAAATGTCATTTATGAAAAACTTCCCAATAGCTACAAATATTACTAATTTGCATATTTGTAGCATAGACAGTGGTGGGGGGAACTCCCCCACCACCACCAGTCATACTTGTTCCCACATGGAAAAACCATGACATCAGTAAAATTGGGTGGGTGTGAATAAGGAAGCAAAACTCAGTTATAATAACATTACTATTTGTTCAAACTTCACATGGCACTTGAAACCAGAGGCTACTTTGTCAGCCTGTCTCCACACTCATGCTGTCTTATGCTGATGCTCTTCATAGTCAACACACTTACAATTTTGCTAGCACCTAAAATATATTTCACATTTCCTTCCTCTGCCTCCAATAACTACAAAAATAAATCTTAAGAAAAAAATTTTTTTTCAAGATGATCTCACTCTGCCACCCAGGCTGGAGTGCAGTGGCACAATATTGACTTACTGCAACCCCCGCCTCTCAGGCTCAGGTGATCCTCCCACCTCAGCCTCCTGAGTAGCTGGACTACGGATACAGGCCACCCTACCCAGTACATTTTTGTATTTTTGTAGAGTCAGGGTTTCACCATGTTGCCCAGGCTGGTCTCAAGCTCCTGGACTCAAGCAATCTGCCTGCCTCAGCCTCCCAAAGTGCTAGGATAACAGGCATGAGACACTGTGCTCGGGTGGCTAAATCTTGAATTCTTAGTCCTTTCTTGAAATCTTGCAGTTATAATCTTCTTACTCAAAAGTATTCCACTTCTTTGAAAGATTCTTGGTTTGACTCTTTTTCTTTGGCAAAAGATTTTATAGAATTCTTCATATTAATATATTTATATGACTTCATTTTGTTTCATCTGAATAATCTTGTATTTGACTGCCATTCACAAAATATTAGAGGTGGTGGTAATTTTTGAAATTCTGACATGAGAAATTAAGGATCACAGAGATTGTTTGAATCAATTATTCATTCATTCATTCATTCACAGACATTCAACAAGTTTTGGGGTTCCTATTATATACCAAAAACTCTGGAAAGTAATGGGGACAAACAATCTCTCTCCTCAAGAGGCTTACAATCTAGTGGAAGGGTTGGCAAACTATAACTCATGGACCAAACCCAGCATCTCGTCTGTATTTGCAAATAAAGTTTTATTGGAACACAGACCTACTGATGTTTATATATTAGCTATGACTGCTTTCATGCTACAATAGCAGAGCTGAGCAACAGAGACCATATAGCCTGCAAAACCCTGAATATTTACTATCTAGCCCTTTAGAGAAAAAATCTGGTAGTCTCTGGTCTAGTGAAGCAGATATACATTAAATAATCACACATACATAAATGCTAAACTGAGATCATAACCAGTTTTATGAAGGAGGTATAGATGATATTATGGCAGCCTATGATGGAATAGAAGAAAGAGACTTCCAGGCAAAAGGAACAGACCACCACAAAGACCCCTATAGAAGAGCACTGTAAGCAGAGGAAACTAAAGAAAGGCTTTGTGAGTTGAGTGTAAAAATTAAGGAAAGCAGAGTTTAATAGAAGGCTAGAAATACAGGTGGGTCATGTGGGCCTTATAGGCTATATAGAAGGAATGCTGTCTTTGTTCCGAGAGCCAAATAAATCCATTAAAATGTTTTAAGCAAGGGAGAAACAATTCCATTTGTATTTTAAAAGATCACTCTGGCTAATGTGAAGAAAGATTGAGGGGGAAAAGGTACAAAATGAGTTGATGCAAGACTGGTCAGGAGGTTATTCCAGCAGCCCCAGTTTAGACTACAGCAGTAGTGTTGTGGTGATAAATTTCACTGAGTGAAGTGGATAGATTCAAAACCACTTTAAGAAGGTATCTGTTAGTAGATTCAACGTGCACATCTGGCGGAGTAATGTCAGAGATGACAGTTATAGGGCTTTTATAGCAATCACTAACGCACAGGACATTGGAAGAAGACCAATTCTGAGGGGAAAGAGGTATGATCACGGTAAAATAATGGTTTGGGGCATATTCTATTTGAGGGGCCTTTTTAACATTTTTTATTTTTAAGAGATAGGGTCTCGCTATGTTGCCCAGGCTGGACTCAAACTCCTGGGCTCAAACAATCGTCGTGCTTCAGCCTCCTGAGTAGCTGCAATTACAGGCATGGGCCACTGTGCCTGGCTGCTTATGGTACTTTTGAGACATTTAAGAGAATATGTTAAGAAGGCAATCAGACTAAATACCATTCCCTACTAAAAGGAACCAAGAATCTTTGGAAAAAACTGATGACTTCGGCCGGGCATGGTGGCTCACGTCTGTAATCCCAGCACTTTGGGAGGCCGAGGTGGGTGGATCATTTGAGTTCAGGAGTTCGAGACCAGCCTGGCCAACATGGAGAAACCCCATCTCTAGTAAAAAATACAAAATTAGCTGGGCATGGTGGCGGATGCCTGTAATCCCAGCTACTCAGAAGGCTGAGACAGGAGAATTGATTGAACCCAGGAGGCGGAGGTTGCAGTGAGCCGAGATCGCGCCATTGCACTCCAGCCTGGGAGCAAAACTCCATCTCATAAAAAAAAACCCAAAAAACAAAAAACAAAACTGATGACTTCAGGGCTGGGACAAGCAAAGCACAAGTTGGCCAGGCGCCATGGCTCACTCCTGTAATCCCAGCACTTTGGAAAGCCGAGGCAGGCAGATAATTTGAGGTCAGGAGTTTGAGGCCAGCTTGGCCAATACGATGAAACCCCATCTCTACTAAAAATACAAAAGTTACCTGGGTGTGGTCATGCATGACTATAGTCCCAGCTACATGGGAGGCTAAGGCACAAGAATCGCTGGAACCCAAAAGAGGGAGGTTGCAAATAAGGCGAGATCGCACCACTGCGCTCCAGCCTGGGCGACAGAGCAAGACTTTGTCTCAAAAAAAAAAAAAAAAAAAGAAAAGAAAGAAAGAGGAAAGAAAGAAAGAAGGAAAGAAAGAAGAAGAAAGAAAGAAAGAAAGAAAGGAAGAAGGAAGGAAGGAAGGAAAGAAGGAAAGAAAGAAAGAAGGAAAGCACAAGTCTTGAACATTTTGTTTTGTCAGAAAGTAAAAAAGTGCTCAAAGAAAGATGAGGACATATCAAAAAAATACAGAAGACAGTTTGAAGAGGCATGCATTAATCAAATCTGGGTCAATTTGAAAATCAAAAGAATAACAGAATAACTGATACATTAAATACAAGAATCCATGAGTTTACAGTGATACTTTTTAAATGGAGACAGAGAAGAAGGGAAAGTTCTTCTTTATAACAGAATGCCAATTAATATCCCCAAGAATGTAAAAAACTGAAGGGATATTTTAAGAATTATACCGCATCACTTCTGTAGGTTTCTTGCCCAAAATGTTTCATGTTAACATGAAAACACTATTCATGTTATTCATGTTAAATATAATGCTACCTCTAGTGTGTGATCCTTAATGGGATCTTAAATTGGGAAGAGAGGTGGAACAGCCCTAAAGAGCATTATTAGGACAGTGAGTGAGGTGGTTCAAAAATTTAACTGCCTGGAGCTAAGAAAGGACAGCCAGAAAAGCAGGAAGTAAAACGGAAGTTTGTTCTCACAGAAGTAAAGAATAAAAATGTTTCAAGTAAGAAGTGATCACAATGTAAAATGCTATTGAGAGGTCAAGTAATACAAATATTTGCCAAGTGTGTATATTACCAGATATTTTGTTTTGTGTTATTATTGTTAAGAGGAGCTTTTAAGGCATTTTTTTCCTAAATGGTTATTACTAATATATGTGGGACTATGAATCTCTTTTTTGTTGTAATTAGTTCATTTTTCCCCAAAAGCCAATACATGCTCATTACAAAAATGAATTATAAAATAAGGTAAAAGACAAACATAAAACCCTACAATCTTACCCACCCAGACAACTACTATTAATACCTTAGTATTAACATATGTACTATCACGGACATATATAAATTTATTTTTTAAAAAATAAGATTATTCTTTACATATTGTTTTAAAACCTATTTATCTGGCAAGCTGCGGTGGCTCACACTTATAACCCCAGCACTTTGGGAGGCTCAGGCAGGTGGATCACTGGAGGTCAGAAGTTCGAGACCAGCCCAGCCAATGTGGCGAAACCGTCTCTACTAAAAATACCAAAAAATTATCTGGGCGTGGTGGTACACACCTGTAATCCTAGCTAAATTGGGAAGCTAAGGCAGAAGAATCACTTGAACCTGGGAGATGGAGATTGTAGTGAGCCGAGATTGCACCACTGTACTACAGCTGGGGCAACAGAACAAGACTCTGTCTCAAAAACAAAAACAAAAAATGAAAACAAAAAAACCTATGTATCTAATATATTGTGATTGTCTTTACATATCAGTAGACATATTTGCAATATGATTTTTAAGGCTGCACAGGAGTACACTGGATGAATGCACCAGTTTATTTAATTAATCCCCTTTACTATTTGGATTGCTTCTAGCTTTTTGCCATTACAAAGAGAACTGCAATGAACAGCACTAGAGTGAAATGTCTGAATACGCTTATTTATTTTCTGAGGCTAAACTCCTAGAATTGGAATTGCTGGCTCAAGAGGCATTCATATTTTTCAGGCTTTTGCTATGTAGTTAAATTGCCTATTAGATTTTATTAATTTACATTCTCACTAACATGATGAATGGGCCCACCTTCTGGTAGCCTCATGATCATAAACTATCACATAATTATTTTTCTCTTAGAACTATTGTTGTATGTTAATTCTATAACCTGCTACTTTCTAAATAATAATTCTAGAGTTTTTCCAGTTGATTTCTCCCACATCCAGCCATTTTTATATTAACTGTAAATGGGTGTGGCATGGTGGACCACACCTAGAATCCCAAGCACTTTGGGAGGCCAAGGTGGGCAGACTGCTTGAGTCCAGGAGTCCAAGACCAGCCTAGGCAACACAGTAAAATCCAATCTCTACAAAAAATACAAAAATTAACTGGGCATGGTGGTACATCCTGTAGTCTTAGCTACTTAGGAGGCTGAGGCTGAAGGATTGCTTGAGCCTAGAGGTAATGGTTGTAATGCGCCGAGATCATGCCACTGCACTCTAGCCTGGGTAACAGAGCAAGACCCTGTCTCAAAATAAGAACAACAACAATAATAATAAAGTTAACTATAAACGAAAAGGCAGAGTAAAAAATTATTTAAAAAACTGTTCACCCCAAGAAAGGAAATCACAATATACAATAAGTTTATGCTTACTTTTAATAACTACAAAAATGTCTTCCTGCTAATCATCATGTGTCTACTAATGAAGAATGTAAGGGTAGTTCTAATGCAAATAATAAGAAGATATAGATGTAAAACATAGTAAACAGAAGTAGAATGAGAAAATTATTCTCCTTAAAAGTAACAAATTTCTTCTCATGGAGAAGAAACAGAGCATTCTATGTCTTATCTTGTTTCTGAAGATGTCTGTAACTGTATACTTACAACAAAGGTCTGCGTTCTTGCCCAAATTCTGCTTCATAGTAGCCGTCTCTGCAGTCTTTTCCAACTAAATCATGAGGATGAGGTTTATATGGGTCATTCTTCGTTACTAATGTAATTCTCACTTTTCCTTTTCCATAATAGTTCATAATCTGAAAAAAGGGGGAAATTAAATATATGATCCAAATAGATCACATTATAAACGGATCTAAACGAGGGTTCAACTTACATTAATTATCATGTAATCAATAGTAGATAAATAAAGTCCAACTGACGAACAACTGCAGTTTTGACGAAACTTTCCAGAGAATACCAGTAGAGAAGAACTTACCTCTCAGTTCCTTGACATATTTTCTGCCCTAATTTCAATTGGTCAAATCATTTGACTCTGCTTATTTTCCTTTCAAAACAAGTAAACTATACCCAAATTTTATCATAGACATGAGAAAACAGATGTTAAGTCACTGAATGCCCAGTTCTTAAATGTACTGTCATGCCATAACATTCCTTGAAAATATATTTAAGCCATACTGGAAAGGATAGCATATAAATATGATCATTTTACTTAATATGTGACATTTCACTTCATAAAAATATTTGTTCAGTAAGCATACCCCAAGAGTTCACTCTAGAATAGGCAATAAATCAAATTTAGTTTAACAACATCGAATTTCACATAGAAAGTATATATAGAGCAGAGAGTAAAAAGGACAGTTTAACATGGAAAAGGAAGGACAGAAACTAATCCTTAGTTTGAAAGCTAGTAAATTTGCAAGAACAAAGCAGGGCATATAAAAAACAGCATACCACAAAGGAACAAGGTAAAGTAAGAATGGGTAGCTTACCAGGTAGCAGTCACTAAAATCCGTAATTTTGAATTTAAATAGAATTTGAACGGTAACCAGAAAGTACTACATTTCTTTCTGGATAAAAGAGAAGGTAACTGCTCAAGACTCTAAGTAGGCAAATACAAAACTCAAGCTGTAAAGTGTTTAGGACCTACTGGAATTGTAAAAATACAGATCTTAGAAATATTTTAGAGATGTATAGGATAAGATGAATTATAGTTTAAAAATGACTCAAAAATTGGACAAATAGTATTTCCTTATTTCCTTTTTATTAGCATCTCATCCATTTTAACATTTAAAATACTTAGATAACCCAAATCCATATTACTGCCAAAAATGTGATAAAAATAGGAATCTGGAATTCAATATATAATCTTGCCATTAGTTTATTCTATAATTTAGCAATTCCCTTTAAGTTCATCAAAAGAATAGACTTTGTAAATAATCTACTTATAAAACAGTGAATAAGATCTGTTGATAAAAGTAACACTTTTCAAAAAAAAAACAAAAAGTAACACTTCAAAATCTACTTTGCCATTAAAGTTTTTAATTGGCATTTAAAGGATAAACCCTTCACTGAAAGTCAAATAAAAAATAGTTGAGAAATAGAAAATATAAATTTAGTACATCACACCTGTAATCCAAGCACTTTGGGAGGCCGAGACAGGTGGATCAACTGAGGTCAGGAGTTTAAGACCAGCTTGGCCAACATGGTGAAACCCCGTCTCTACCAAAAAACACAAAAATCAGCTGGGCATGGTAGTGGGTGCCTGTAATCTCAGCTAGTTGGTAGGCTGAGGCAGGAGAATCACTTGAACCCAGGAGGCAGAGGTAGCGGTGAGCCGAGATCATGCCATTGCATTCCAGCCTGGGCAACAAGAGCAAAACTCTGTTTCAAAAAATAAAAATAAATAAATCTAGTACATCTTGTAACTATTAGTATATTTACCAAAGTCAAAAGCTTTTCAAAATGTATGTTAATGTGAAAAAAACCATATTTAAAAAGCGTTATTTCAAATCAGTCAACAAGTCAGAGAATCAGAGACAAGTAATAAAGGTAAGGAAAAAGGAGAAAAAGATGTTCTAGTCCTAAGACTAGCCAAGAAGAATTGTGATTGAGTTCTCAAATCCATATTTAATCTACAGAGTAATATCACTCACCTCTGTAAGGAGAGAATGGGTTTTCCTTATTAGCTTTGTGTTCCATGAAAGAGAACATGATCCAAAAGCTGTCAATGTACACTAAACATTATAAGTCGCTCTACTTAGGTTAATACACAAGCACCATATAACTATGTGCAGTGGGGAAGACTCCATACTATATTAAGAAATGTCCTTAGACATCTATCTAATATAGATCTGTTAAAAAAGTAAAAGAGGAAAAAATAAAAAGACAAAACTGTGGATATAACCGTGAAGAAACTGGCCCTTAAAAATAATTGCTATAGCTGATCTATGAGGCAACTAATAGAGACAGACACAGAAGAAGGGTCTATTACCTGGATAGAAGGGTATGTTCGGTTGTTGTCTGTGCTGTGCTCCCCTGGAATGCTGCCTGCTGATCGCCCTTCACATTTGTATCTAAAACGCATTCCCCTCTGCCTGGGCTGTTCAATTATCTCTATATACGGGTTATATGCACCTGAAATTTTTTTAAAAAGGAGGAGGTCAGTGAGATTAGTGTAACAATTAATAATGCATTTTAACACTTCTGTTTTTTCATAACAGCAGACTAAAATAAAGATTTTTTTTTTCCTTCTAGCCTTAAATAACAAGTTTGAAATGTTATCTTGGAGATTGGCTGGGAGAGGCGCCTTTCTTTCCCCATTCAAATTGAGTCCCTATGTAGTGTCAAAACAAGTCATTCAAACCATATTGATGGTTAGCACTTTATAGCTTAGTATCTATAGCTAATGTCAATATGAAGTTCTGAAATAACCACTTCAGAGATATCCGCCTCCCACGTGAGACCTAGCAGAAGGGTTTCCCCCAAGATTCCCCGAGAAGGGTAAAGAAGATTACACTCCTAAAGTGAGTTAAATGTATTTAACTGCTTGATTTTACATCATACTTGTAATACTGAATGAAAAGACCATTCACTGAAAGTGAAAATGCATTTAAATCCTTGCAGAAGCATTAGGTGAGTTTTTTTATATCTCCACTAAATATTAAAAAACTTACACATAGTATATCAGAAACAAGTCCCAGGAAGGACTTTATTGTCAAAGAATGTGCAACCATTCCCATGTAAAACATATCTAAAGTAAGACACAACAGAGAAAAAAACATTACTTACTTTCTATAATAACTAAAATTCAAAATATGCATCTGCAGAATGAACTGCTGATATATATAATGACATGGATGACTCTTAAAATCATGCTAAGTGAAAGAAGTTAGATCAGAAGACAACATACTGTATGATTCCATTTATATGAAACTCTAGAATATGTAAAGTAATATACAATGAACCATAGCAGATCACTGGTTGCCTAAGATAGGGTGGATAGGAAAGGCTGGGGGGGCGATTGACATGTTAATTATCTTGTGATGATGATTCCAAGGTTGCATACATATGCCAAAACTTATCAAATTACACACTTTAAAGTGTAATTTGTTGTACATAAATTATATGTCAACAAAGCTGTTTAAAATATATGCAACTTTACTATCTTTTATTATCCAAATTGTGGGAGAAAAGGTAAATAGACACTCAACTGTGTTTGCAAGTAGGGGAGTTAAGAATGTATTTTTATTTCAGGGGTGTGAAGATGTTTTCTATTAAAAAAAAGTATCCCTTAATCAGTTTAGTGATTTCTAAATTCCCACAATTACATATCCATTTTGCTGACTAAGGCTTATCCTGTTGGAATGCAAGCAATACAGAGAAATGGTAACACAGTGGGTCTAGGCAGAGCCACAGTGGCTCAGGCCAGTTGTCCTGGTGCTTGAGTAGGCAAGGCTATACGTTTGAGGTCAGCCTGGGCAACATAATGAAATTTTCATTCATTTAAAAAAAAAAAAAAAAAAAGGTTTAAAGCACAGTGGGTCTTATCAGAACAGTACAGAAAAGAGGCCTTTAGAATTCTACCCAGCCACTTCTTAACAGTAAGACCACAGAAATGTTATTAAAATTAGAATCTCTTAGTTTCCTATTCTGTAAAATAGGAATACTCATAATAGCACCTACCTCATTGGGTTTTTGTGAAATTACAGATTATATGTGCTAAATTCTTACCAAGTGTCATATATACATATACATTCAATAAATGGTGTCTATTATTTCAGATGCTTTCTTGATAACAATGATGTAGTGATACCATGATGTTATCAAAACTGCCACCCTAAAGGACCTTACAGAAAAGCAAGTCAAACAACACAAATTATTAGACTATAGCAGGAAGGAAAGCACTAACAAAACTCTGCAGAAATGATAATAAGAGCCAAAAGAGTCAGGAAAGCCTAACTGTCAGTAGAAAAAGAGTGATTAACAAAGCAAATGAGTAGGGAAATGAAGAGGAAAAAGGAACAATGTATCCACAGAGGGGGGTTTATTTAGGAATCACCAATGTAAATGGAATACACTTCCACTTTTAGAAAGAGAACTAAAAGTCAGAGCATACTTGGCAATGTGGATTTCCTTTTATGTGTGATGAAATCAATGAATATTTTGATGCAGGCAAATCATATGATCAGATTGGCATTTTAGAGTAAAAACTTTAGTCACAGCAGACAGATAGAAAAAAGTAAGCAAGGTGATCAGTTTTAGAGACCACTATAATAACATGGACAATGATGAGGGTACGTCTGAAATATGGCAGTGATCAAAGGAATGAAGGATTATTTAAAAGATAAAACTGACAGCACTTGGTGCCTGAATATTAGGATTAAGAGAAATTAAAGAATCACTGATGGTTCCATGGTTTCTACTTTGGGTTACTAAATAAAGTATTACTGTTACTGTACTTTTAGTTTTATTCTGTACGGTGCAAACTCCTTGTATTTGAATCTACCACCTATTTGTTTATTCAAAAGATAATGAGCCAGAGAAAATTAACTTTAACCCAAACAAGTTCATAATCCTTATTCCAGTTTTACTCAAAAACATAAGATATGCAGATGAGTAATTCACAATTTTATCCTTGCGTATTTCAAATCTTTCAAGTTCATATTTCAATTTTAAATATTTCATAACCTTATATATCCTTGCAGGGGTATTTAAGAAAAAGTACATCTTTCCCCTTAAAAACTGGTAAAATTAACATTATTTTTTAAGTGACATTTTAAATAATTTATGTGGCTGAGGTAAAAGTCAAATAAATCCCTGCCTACTACTTATTTAAAGGTGTCTTGGTGGGAAACTGACATAAAATGACATCGTTAATGGTTAAGTGGTTAACTTTGGGAGGAGGGAGTGTGAATAAAAATGCTAGGTTCATAGTGAGCATTCAAAGACTTCACTGAGGCCAGGCACTGTGGCTCATACCTGTAATCCCAGCACTTTGGGAGGCCAAGGTGGGTGAACCACCTGAGGTCAGGGGTTCCAGACCAGCCTGGCCAACATGGCAAAACCCCTGCCTCTACTAAAAATACAAAAAATTAGCTGGGCGTGGTAGCAGATGCCTGTAATCCCAGCTACTTGGGAGGCTGGGGCAGGAGAACTGCTTGAATCCAGGAGGTGGAGGTTGCAGTGAGCTGAGATTGAGCCATTGTACTTCAGCCTCAAAAAAACAAAAACAAACAAAAAAAACTTCATTGGTTACATGACACTTATTTAGATTGTTTGTGAAAAAGTCTATAAAAATAAAAGTAGTTGTTGAAAAGATTCAATATTTTTAAATAGTAAAATTTACATAAATATCAGTTGTCATATAATATTGAGTACTTAAAGTCCTTGAAATTTATTTTTCCTACTGCAGAAGCTCTTAATTGGTAAAAATCAACAAGCTGGGGTTACAACCAAGTAACAGAGTATATTGCAATACTCTATATTCCCTCAGCTGGAAATAATCTCCCCTCCTTTAAACTACCATAGTATTCTGTTTATAGCAATTATTCCAAATAACTCTTAGGGAAAGCCTACTGTCTTATTTCTTCTTGAAATAAAGCTACTTGTTTTATTTCTTCAAGCTACTTGAAGGCAGAAATTGTGTCTTACTCATCAGTGCCTTGTACACAGATATTCATTAAACAACTATTGAATGACTAAAAAGTCTTAAGATCTTTTGTTTATACAAGTTATTCAAATGTTAAATAATCATATAAGTGATTATTCAGTTTTTTAAATTAGATTTCACTACTAAGAAAAACAAATAGTGCTTTGTAGGTACCAGGATTGCTATACCCCAGTATTTCCTCATGCTCATTCATATTTCAACTTATCTGAGTTTATGATTTTTTAAAAACTTCCCAACTATAAATCATTTATATAATGCATCAGTACAATTCACCAGTTATTTCCTTCCTCAATACTGTGCTTTGCGCAGTGCCATTCCTCCTGAATATAAAACGTGCTGAAATGTAGTCATCTATGGAGTGGAAGACGGTAAAATACAAATCAGGGAATTGTAGGGAAAATGAGCGCTCTTAACTAAGATAACCTCAAATTGCCAGTTTTGAAAAGCACCAAAACATCTTCAAAATTGGCTCTAAATAAGTTGATTACTGTATTTTTCTCTAAGCAATACCATGCAAAGCTGGGACTGACCCCTATATTCTAAATAGTATTTTAAAAGGCTAATATACACCAGAATAACATCTGAAATATAGCCAAAATGTTTCTAAGATATATTTATGTTTTTATTTGCACTTAGGCAAAACAGAGTACTATTTTAAAACATAGTGCCTATCTAATAAAGCATAAGTTTTTAAGATAAAAAAATAAATGACACTGAAATAAATGTTTAAATGGATCATAAATGATCAGAAATAGACACATTACTAACATCTTATTGCTAGAATTGGCAACCAGCATCAAGCATACAGAAAAAAAGTAAATTAATATAATAACACTATTTTAAGACCCCTTTAACACACATTTCTCATTTGATCCTCTTTAATCTCCATTTGAAAAATAGACATTTTTATCCCATCTTACAGATGATGAAACTAAAGTTGAAAATTATACGAAGTTATAAGAAAAACAAATTATGAATGGCATGCTAATATGGGAGTGCCAAATTTTAAAAATCAAGCATCAAAGCAACTGGAGGTAAAGTCACAATAACTGACACAGCACATAACCTGCGACCTAAAATAAATGGAACTTAATTTAAGAAGATAATGCATCCTGGTATAGTCAAATGAGTATTTAGATCCAAAGAAATACCTAGAACAGAGTTCATACTGGGGATTTACATCAGAATCAGCTAGGTAGTTTTTTCAAAACATGCACATCCTTATCCCACTTAAGATGTTTAAGAGAAATGGAAATCTTCAAGGTTTTTAAAGCCTTTTTAAAGCCTACATTTTTCTGAAAAAGCCTTCCAAGAAATTCTAACACACTCCTGATTAAGAACAATTGCCTTAAACATGAAGTGGAAACAACCCAATGCACATATCTAGAGAAGCAATCTAAAAATTCAGGTACAAGTATGGACTGGGACATGGATAAATCAGGCAAAGCAATTCTGGCTACTTGTAAATTCTTTTTCTCTCCCACTCAAAAAAGAATCTTATTCAAATGCAAGCAAGAAAAATGACACTACAGAGATAGCCTTCAAATGCTCTCATTTATTTAAAAAGTAAATAACTTACAAAATAAATATCTTAACTCTTGCAACACATCACACAAATGATTGACACACCAGTGTGTCAACACCACAGTTGAGAATAGCTGACTAGGCTGCATGTCTCTCATAAAGGTCCTGGGTGACAGACTTGCCTGAGACCTCAACGAGAAAATGGAGTTAACAACATATATTTTTCCAAATATCACCTCTACTCAATTTAGAGAAAAAGAAAATAAGAACTATTCTCTTTTTCCTCAAACCAGGTCTCTCATGAGCCAAAGTCTATTCCAATATATCAGGCTGACTATTACTCCAAAACATCAGGCTGACTTTGAATCGGGCCTTAAGAATCAAAGTATTCTGATGCATATTCAACTGATGTATGCACACAAGGTAAAAACTATAAAAGATTCTGGTAATAGGGATTCTGTTACCATGTGGGGGAAAAGGTAAGTCTTGAAAAAACTCTTTCACATGCCAAGGTAAAATAAAGAAATTTTAAAATCTGTCCTAGATTATACAGGTATTAAAGTTAAAAACAAATGACAAGACCAAATCACCTCTCTTTTAAAAATAAAAATACAAGAGACCCAGAAATACGAATTTCAGAAAAACAATTTTATCCCATGCAATATTTGGGTCATGTGCCTACAAACAAAATCATTTTCAGAGAACCCAGATGAGAAAAAGTTGGAACAAAAGGAAATTCTGAGTCCCTTAAATTGTATCTGAGAAAGATGCTATGCATAACCTAGATGTTCCCAATTATGATTCATTGTCTGGCCCCCTCCCTTGTCATTAGATTAACTCATTCCCTTTATCTGTGCCTATCATATATCACCTTAATTATTTAACACCACTGTTATTTCTACTTTTTCATGTGTTGCATTTCTGAAACATTCATGCTCATGTGTGGCCTTGTACCTAAAAAAGGAAGTCATTTGCTGTAGCTATCCATTCCTAACTTCCAGCTCTGTTATTAAAGATTAAGTTGCATCATAGTAACTTCTATTTCCCACTCCTTTACTCAAGAAAAAAAAAACAGTCCTCTTGAAATTCACAGTACAAACAGTTGGTGAGTAGTAAGGTTTACAAAAACAGTTCATTCTTGTACTTCCTATTGTGTGACACAGAAGAAGCATACTAAAGAAAAACGTGAATAACAATAAATTATCTAAATTTTAAAACATTTTGCCAAAGACAACACTAATTATTAGTTAACAGAGCTATATGACACACAAAGACATTTTGCTTTTTTTACTGGAACAATGAGAAGGTTTAAATTCAGACATAAAATATCTAACTCTACTTACAGTAAACAAAATAGAATCATAAATATACAAAAGCTATGACTGCCTACTATGCATACCTTAGATGGGTTTGGGAACATTTTTCTTCACTATGTTTATTATTAATTATGTCAAAAGACTGTAATCAAGGTATAATTTTTTTAAAAAAGCAACAAAAAGCAGCTTAATACAGGCTGTGAAATCCTATATAATCTGCTAACTTTATCTAAACAAAATTTAGAATCATATGTATATACATGATTCTAAACTATATTCTAAATTATATAATTTTGCTTAGATTATGATTTCTGTTACTTTTACATTATAGATATCACGTATTCAACTGCATATACCTATTCATGTATGATATCTCGTGAGAAATGAAGAAATATTCTTAAATGCTTTGTAATGAATAAAAGTACTTTTTGAGTTTTAATGCTACCTTACTACCAACAGAATCTAAATTAGACAATGAAAAACTAAGCCATTTTTTTTGGTCAGTCTTCCGGTTAATTACTGTTTCAAAACAGAATGGGAATTTAGAATTTCATTAGTGAATCTTTTTCTATCTCTAAGGTCTTTATAACAGATTAAGGAAAAGTACACAGATTCCTTTAATCATTTTTTTAAAATTCCAGGCCTGATAGTTTTCTAATAACTGAATTACAATGTAAATAACTTGTTACATTTTAAATAGTCCCATTTTAATGCAACTCTTCAGAAAAGACCAAAATACAAAAAGTTAAATCACCCTTCAACTTCCAAACCTTCAAAACTTTCCATTTCTTTAAACATTTCCTCCTTACATTTAGGGAATCCTTGGTCCTCACAACAGCACAAAATACAGTGTCAATGAACAAATTTAAATTGTAACACATTTTAAAATCCTGTGAGTCTTAGAATGGTCTATATAGAAATGGTTGTTTTCTCTCGCATTTGAAAAAATTAGAAAGTATTACATTCATGCAATATATTAGTAATGTTTGATTAAATCGCCAGAAGGCTGAACTTTCTTATGTTAGGTATTCTTCATTACTTCCAAACAAAATCTCTCTGATAACCAATAAATTAACAAAATATTTGAAGTCATCTTAACACTTAGAATCTACACATGCTTTGAATTCATAAATGTACAGAATTATCTGAAAGTTTGGGGTCACTTAAGTGGGTAAAGGGAAAGTTGAAATATTTTAAACTACATTTGTATTCTCACAACCACAAACTGAAATCAAATGTCAAGTGAAACACCCCAATTTCCTTTTCTGCCTACAGCAATAGCTATAGCATTGTTCTACTCAACCTTTTAAAGAGATTGTTTAAGCTTCCGACTTCCTCTTCTCTACTAGACATCGGCTTTCTTCTAAGAGTCACTGAACCAGGCAGTTTGGGGATGGGAGTCAAGTTCAGAAACGGGGCCCCCTCTTAATTCCCTTAGTACAGCATTTAATATATGTGTTTAGCCCTCCCTGCCTCTGTTCACGCTGCTTCCTCTGTCTGGAAAGCGCCCCCCACTCAC